TTAGGGCTGAATCGTCACACTCGGCCAACAACGCACCTTATAATAAACACTTAACTAAGTATTTTTATTCCGTCTACGTGACAGGTGGAAAATTCGAGTCAAACGTAATCCAGCGGGGCTAAATTAAATCACGCGATTTACTAGTCTATCAAAGATTGTCGCTTATGATTTCTACTACGATGTTAGTACTTTTTGCTCGACTTACAAAGTTGAGGTTAGACGCAATATTTTGGGTTATAATATGAAACTTTAAAAAAAACCCTCAGAGATGCTAGAAAATCGTCGTATACCGGTCATGTTGAAATTATAAGTTTGTACCCAAAATTGATTAAATTGTGCTGCTTCTCAGTTCGGGTCATGTGTCTACGGACACCTGGGCAGATTTATTAAGTAGAAATTGTGTGGTCTAAGTTAATGAGACTTACAATATAGATCCAGTCCGGCCAGTTAAAATATCCGCATCTCAAACATACTGCGAAAACTACACATGTCAATACCACGTGGAGTATATTTCTATCTAACGCAGGTCACAGTCTCAAAAGAATATAGATGAATATTCAAACAGAACACAATCAGTGTCGCCAGCATCAAATAAAATCTTTATGAATTATGAATGCTAGTATATACCTAAAGATAATTTATGTATTTAAAATTCTTCTATATATATACTACCTTCAAGGTATAATGTAAACAGCCGTTAAGCCGTGCGTTATGAAGAATTAAAGTAAAATTATATAAATTATCATTTCACAAACTGTTCAAGTAACATTACTTACGTGAAATGTTACCAAGACATAATTCAGAACATAATTTAACAATTCGAGTCTGTTTTGTTTACGGAAATAAAAGTTTCAGTGTCGCGGAAGTCTCGAGTTCGCGGCCGATCGGTATTTACAATTGATTTTAATTAAGAAATGTATATTACGATGTATTTAAAGTAAAGCAAAAGGGAACGTACTAATTACTTATATTTACATCACGACCTAGGTATTTATGGATTAAACACTACGAGCACTTTTTATGATAAAACAATTTTTCTCAAAAGGCCATAAGTCCGCCAAAAACATAATTGATTTAGCCTGCATTCCCTATATGGGAGATTTAAATAGCTGTAATACTTATCGGAAACAGTTTCACTTGCAGGTAGGGCTCGATAAAATTTGTTCCGCATTCCAATGCAAAATTCATTCACAGGCCGAAGACGAAACGTCTAGACTGTATGTCGGAGAAAGGTGACCATTCACTGATGACCGCCCGACTTCACCGCTTCTGAGATATGACCACTTAAATGGTTACCGTTAAAAACCTAACGGCTATGCGCTCTAGCTACATATTATAAAGCGTATCCTATACTGCTACTTCCTGCTTAAATAAACGGGGGAATTGGTGGAATTTGCAGAAAAATGAACTCTAAGATAAAAGCAACACCCGCGGTATATTCAAATCAAATATCGTCGTAAAGGGTTGTATGACATAAAATGGACAGAATCAATTATACAACGTCAGAAATAATACAATCAACCGGGTCCCAATCCCAATATGACCAGAAGAAATGAGAAAATGCTAAATACTAAACTATAGCGAGTAACTTTCGAAACACGATATCATCTACATGACGCTCGGTGCACGAGCGCTTGGATTTAATAGTAGCAGACCGACATCCGCATAGCAACAGCTTTCAGATTCAGACGGTGAATGAAAGTTGATTGCGGACAAAAATGCGAGCCCAACGACGATTTCGGCAGAGCCGTTGATATTTCGACGGAGTGTTCCATTACGTGACATCTATACCACACAACTAGAGCCACGAGCTATCGACATATATATCTTCAGAAACCGGCATGTGAAATATAATAATATTAAATGTTTTTTGTTTTAGACTCCTATTTCCTACCCAATAACAAACACGTAGACAAAGGCAGCTTCAAACATGATGATATTACATTCAAGAAAATTAGATTTTATAATTTATACATATTCGACCAGTAGACCAATAAAAGTCGTGTACAAAAAATCTGTCAATTCTACATAGTCTTGAATACCAGCTGGCTTCTAATATTTACATAAAATTGTCACAAAAATAAATTGAACTTGAACTCGAAGTAGATAAGTCGACAGGGGTAAAGCTCAATTCCTTTTAATTGCGTAGAGATAAGTCTTAGCCAGTATTTTACTGGGTAACTTTCTAATCGGTAGGGTCTCGCCGGAGTATATAAATTTCCGAGTGTAACTTTGTCGTTCTCCCGGTAATAATAATTATTTACATTTTATTACACACATTACATTTAATATACGTTACAGTGTCAATTTAAATTGACCCTCAAAGAAGGATAACTTAAATTTGTTCATTTGAGGGTAGGTAATAAAAGACCGTACTAATTTATTAATTTCTGCACCCGTTTTGGTCACTGTATAGTTTGAAAGGCCAGTCATTTGGATAAAATGTCATATAAATAATGAAAAAATGTCTGATAATAACTATCTATTCCTTTTTAATGTATGAAAATATTAGTCACTGTCCTATTTCAGGGAAACTGGGTATTGAGAGCAGTATCTCCGTTTTATTTAGTTCAATCCCGTGTTACTACCTCAAATGAAGTGCCAAACGCGTGGGTAGCGAGAATCCCAAATGTTCTGTTGAATGGAATTTGTGCAAACATGTAATTCGTGTTGTAACTGAAACCGATTGCCCCATGAATTTTCAATTATATTAAAGTAATACAATAACTTTTTTTCAAATTAGCAGAAAAACATGCCAAAATTGCTTATTGCATCAAAATATTTCAGGTATTTTGTAATACTATTAATGTAACTTTAAGACAAATCATAGTATCACTTAAAACTCTAAGGACAAATAGTATACGGCTCGCTTCTCTCTTAGCCCGTATTATCAAAAAGTTAAATTAAGTAATAAAGTTAATTCTAAGCTATTGTTGCAGTGATAAAAATAATTGTGTACCAATTGAATATTGTGACATTCTCCCCTTGCGAGAGGCGTAAAAATCTTGTTATCTAATAAAAGCATCAATGCAGGGTTCACGAGAATTAGGTAAGAGTTAGGGGCCGACGCTTTTTGGGGTCCATACAATATAATAGCCCTTGGTACTGACGAAAAGACCGTGTACTCTTACGTCCCGATCTCAATTATTATGTAATACAGTCAGAGACGACATCGTTTAGAACAACATACCGGTTATATTGACCAAAATCAAAGGTCCCGGCTGAATTCTATTGTATTAGGTACTTAATAACAACGTCATCGGCTGTTACGACTATCGGTTTTTACGAACAAATATGAGTAGTCCCGTCGATGTCGTTATAACAGATTTGACTGTACATTGCATTATTATATAATTTAAGATGATATTAAGACATTAGTAAAACCCCGCACCCAAATAATAATTATGATCAATGGACGGCGTTCACAATGTAACTGTAACTTCCAGATTAAATACGAGGCACATAGAAGAACCATGTAATATGGTTTACAACTCGACCCTCCGCAAATGCCAGTGGAAATTAGGTCAAAGGGATGTAGGGCAGTGATATCCACAGGTACGAGGGATGTGTGCATTCAACAATGTACACACACACAAAGATACACCTGCACTTGTGATCAGAAGAGCTTATAGAATGGAAAATTGTGTTGTGTCCATTGAATCAGGAATACATGACTCTCATACAGACTTTAATGATTCCAAGTTTCCTTAATACATGCAAAAAAAATTGCAAAGTTTTTGATTTTTGTTAATTCAGGATAGTGTTTATTAAATATTATAAATAAAATAATAATTAAATGTTAATTTGTGTATGTTAACATATGTATTTGAAAAAAAATTATAGATAAAAATCAATGGAAGACAGTAAAATGTTGAAAAAAACATTTAATTCATATTACAGGTTTGGTTACTTCTTGCACTTGCAGTTTCATGGGATAATTCTTTTTTTATGGCAAGTGATCAGCACTTTGTGCCTATCAATCCAAAAAATATTTCTAGGAAGGAAGCCTATGTCCTCTGGTCCACCATATGCCACATAAACAAATTTTTATTGAGTGAGAGTGCGTTTTATCAAAGTACATAATAGGAAACTTTTAGAACATAAGACATAAATCAGGGATTTCCCAGGTTTTAATAAGATATCATGAGTAGGATATTGACGATTAACTAAACAACTATCTATCATGAATTCGTTACTGACATAAAATAATATGGAAACCTTTATTGAGTAAGTATATTTGACTTTTTCACTAATAATTTTATCATAACTGTAAGTTTGAGATATTCCGACCCAGAAAACATTAAGAATAAGTTTCACTATTCAAACATGTTATCAGCAGGCTTAGAACATGGGAATAAATACCCATAACTTTTGTATCTTTAGTTACTCAAAATTGCCAAATTAAAACCAATAAAACAATTCCTGTATAGGATCATGATTGATTAAACAATTTTGTTAGAAAAAACTTAACCAAAAAGCGGACTGACAGACAGTCAGTCAACCAATACTGTAAACCTACAAATATAACCAACGTAAGAAAATACGTGTTAAGAATTCATCAATATAATATAATTTCATTCAACCTATAATATGGTTAACTATTTAAAATTTATAATACCAATTATATTTTAATATTTGACTGCAAAACTATATTGTCCTCATAATACAAAATATATTTTTTGTTTTATGATTTGCTATTAATTTTGATGAAACTACATATATATAAGGATATATATTATTTACTACCCAATTAAAAGGTTTAAATATTTACAAGTTATAAAATTTACCAAGTCAAATAACTCAAGCTGTACCAGCTTACTCTATCTACTATTACATTTTTTCTTAAGTGTGATAAAAAAGCATAATTACTAAAAAATTGTCTAGCACTTCTAAAATATGTTTTGTAAAGTGCATAATTATTGAATTTGTACATATATTACAGTATTCTAATACGAAAAACTTGTTAGTTAGTAGCAGTTTAAATATGTAAAATTTCTTACATTTGTTTTTGGCATTTTCATCCATGAGCATATTGAAATGGTGGTGACGATTCCACGCTGCCATTTTGCCTTCGTGCGGAGCCCCGAGAAGCACCAGGGCCGCCCCGGCGGGCCCAACTCCGTCTAGGGGCTCCAGTGTCCTCAGTACACTAAACTTTGTCACACACTCATAACCCAAGAAACATAACTAACACACGCTCACTGGTAAAACGCCGTCGCCTCAAACGGCGTTGTCATCGGCGCCAAACCGCGCCACACATGCCTTCGCACTTCCGTTTAACTCACTTAACGATGCACTCGCGAGTAAATAACCACGATCAACACACCGCGCGGTGATTCACCTCTACGCCGCTCCGCACTGCAGGCTTGAGGCGGACTGTACCGAATAGCGTGCGTCCGTCACGGCCGTCCGGCGCCCGCCAACCCTACCAGACTGACACCCAAACACTCCGGCGTCACGTGCGCTTCGACACCACCACAACAGCTATCCTCTATTCTTTGCGCACCAAAACAATAATGCACGCGCGAATATCTCTCTTCTATTTTAAATTATGAAAATATTTCAACGCAACGGAATGCGACGGGAGCGAGCAAGACGGGACGACGCGATTCGCCTTCTTCGATCCGAATCTGACAGACTCGAATCGACCTCTCGGACCGCGAACAAAATAATAACAAATATGCATGAAATGCTTGCTGTATTATGTGCACGTGGGTTGCGTCACACAGTTTTAGTAAAACACTGCGTATAAAAACAATTCTAGAAGATTAACGATTTTTTTCTTGCATGGCTTTTATTTAGACGAGCCAATGAACGATTTCAAAATTTTACGAAATTATGCGAAGTACTCCATTTAAACACACAAGTATAAAAACTAGTCAATAAATTACAAATTCACTACTGCAATTACATCGTCATCAACTACACTATTTGTAAACAAAGCACAGCCCGTGTTACATTCAGTAAATTATTAGTTTTGGAACCGAATACGCGAACGCGTTGATCAAGCGCGACAAGTAGGACAAAACATGGCAGACTTTACCATGGTATCAAAAGCAAGCATTTGAACTAATCTACGCTCTATGGTTTTCATTTTTATTTGCTGTTATTGCCAGTATTTTGTTTTTATTCAACTGTTTTAATAATTAAAATAAAGATTTGAAATACTATAGAAATTATTATTAAAATATGTAAACATTTTATTAGAATAATATAAAAAACTAATAAACAAGTGGCATAGATAATAGAGCTATGTGTCCTTTGATCACGGCTTGAGAGTTGAGTCACAAATCTAAATTTCTTGAAGTTATTGAAATTCCAAAACTAGTACTGTCAAGCTTTAATTAATAACCCATTATTATTTCCTAAAAAACATCTTACAAAACTAGACAAGTGTTAAAATAATAATGGTCATGTAATTACATTTTATGTCTAATATACAGTAAATAGGTTCTCAAATGTTACGTTGATAAAGACAAGAAATAAACACAGGATTTAAATTATAATATAGATTAATAATAGAATATAAATTTAAATGGTACATAGATATCATTATTTTAAGTAAACAAAGGAAAATTATTCTAAAGTTATTATCATTATTTAGTTTCACGGCTAACAATTCACTGGTACTTAACGGGGTTTGCCTAGTCCGTTTGAAAGCATAAGTGGGTCCAAACGAAGATTTGAGATTTTAAACTTCAAAGTAAAGCAAATTCCAACATCTGTTCAACGGTCTGATGAGCTGTAGATCGGCCTTTGATAATATGTTTTTCCACGTCCGTCTTTATTTGAATAACCTATCAAGTGTCTACATTCCTATGAAAATATTATGGCACTCTGTGGTTATTTTTTTTTTTAAATGAATTGAGACTCTATGCCCTAGTTATGCTCTATGGTAATATAGAGTCGTTTTCTTTATTCTTAAGCGATGTAATGCTGTGGTGTATCGAGTTGTGACGCACTTACACATTTCTGTAATAAAGAAGACTGAAAGCGTGCTTATAATAAATATAGCACACCATACTACTTTTATTAGTTTATCAAAAAAATCAAAGTAAGTTTACGAAGTTTAATAATATATTTATTTGGATTTATTAAATACAAGTTTTATTTAATGTCCTCTTGATAGATTGCAAATAAAACAACGACCATGCCTAAACGTGGAGGAGGAAGACCAAGAAATAATTGGAAAAATGGTGCTCCTAATTGCTTCGGTAAGTTTTATAATTTTTAGTAATTGTAAGTCATCCGATTCTGTACTAACGTAAAGCCCACACAGCAAAAGTGTTGGGTACGCCATTGTTGTGACGTTACAGGAAACTACTCTTTTTCCTTGTTATCAGTATTAAGTAAAGTAGTAGTTACGTTTTAAGTGGAGGTAGTCAGTTCGAAAAAGGTTGGAAGAAGAAACTATATTTAGTACTAGTTAATATTTAAATATTTTTTGGAATGCAAGAGATATTGGTCCCTAAAAGAAGTTATGAAAAATAGTCAAGCATGCACATCAAGAGAAAACTTTTCAACATATGCATCCTACCAATTGTTACATACGGCTGTCAAACATGGGCATTTACCAAAGCACAATGTGAAAGATTAAGTGTAACCCAGAGAGCCATGGAAAGAAGCATAATAAAGAAAAGAAGAATTGACAAAATTAGTAACAAGAATTTAAGAGATAAACAGGGTTTGCTGACGTTGTGTATAAAACAAAAGTACTAAAATGGGAATGGGCTGGACACATTATAAGAGGAGCAGATAAATGGAGCAAAATAGTAACACTTTGGCAACCAAGAGGCCATAAAAGAAACAGGTAGGCAATTTAAAAGGTGGGCCGATGAAATCATGGAAATGGCTGAAAAGACTAAGACCTGGACGAGATTGGTATACAATAAGGAAAAATGGAGGACAATGGGGGAGGCCTTTGCCCATAGGCACACAGAATCAGTTATCGTAGATTAAGAAAAATAATAGTTATAATGTATATATTTTGTATTTCTGATATAAGGCAGTAAATAAATAAATAATATTTAAATATACATATTTTTGTTTTAGAACATGACGACCGCATTCACCATACAGGAAGGCGAGTTATGTTCAAACAAAGTCACAACAAAGGAAAAAACAATAAGTTTAAAAATTGGAATGATGCTAAAATACTTTTTGATGATGATGTTGATATGGGAGCATCTGGTAATGCACAAAATAGAAGAGGTGCTTACAGAGGTAGAGGAGGTCGACTTGGGTCACCACCGCCACGGCCATCCCAGCACAAAAAGAAATTCATTACAGGGGTTCTGCCATGGTACCAAATAACTGTACCTTATGGAGCTAAGCATGAAAAGGATGTCATATTAAAAGTTTTGCTAAGTCACATATCACCGGAAGTGTTTATACCACACTACTTCAAGATTGAAGGAAACTCTGCAATATTCTATGTGGATGATGTAAAGGTTGCTGAAAAGTTATTTCATGCAGATCGAAAGATAACAATGCCTAATGGTTTCAAGTTGGTGGTTATTGTTCGCAATGCAGTACCAAGAATTAATATTACTGATGATATGAAAGAAAAAATGAAGTTGGCTATGGCTAAACGCTATAACCCTACAACAAAGGCTCTAGATTTAACAAAATTCCATGCAGATCCCGGTGAGAATATTATTATTTTTTTCCTAATATTTTTTTTTGTTTATACAATCTCAAATAGTTGTTCAGGTATATAAAAAAATCTACATTTGTCTTTGTGAAACACTAAGTTAACATGTTAATACATAGTATTGTCTTTGTCATGTTAATACATGTTTAGGTAATGTAATACTGTGTATTGGTTTTGTTGATCCAGTCTGATTAATACAAATAAAATAAATGAATGTATTTATTGACATTGTGTTGATGTTACACATACATTTACTATTTTTATTTTTGCTTATATTTGAGCAGTTTTGCATGGGAGTAAAATAAAAAAGCCTGATTGATTGATTTATTGCTTTGTATTGTATTTACTTTTGGTTTTGATTAAAATTCCTCATATATTAGATTAGATACTTATTAATCTTGTTTATAAATCTCTAAGTTACCATCATATTAGAAATGTAGTTATAGACAGTACGTATATTTCAGATCTTGTGGATGTTTTCTGTGCACTGTTTCGCCCGATCATTATGTTGGCTGCCGTGGATATAATTGCTGAAAATATACCAGATTTGGAAGCTTTAAATTTAAATGATAATAAGCTACATGGACTTGAACATTTGAAGATATTAGCCACGAAATTTAAAAATTTGAAAATATTATATATGGGTGACAATCGGGTAAGTGTGTTTGTGGAAATCTAAAAGTTTAAATCTTTATTAGCAAAAGTATTTATACCCCCACCACTTTGCTCAATACATAACTTTTTCATTGCTAATACACTCTATTATTATAAAAATATTTTATTCTTTAAATACAAACATAATTTATTATAAAAAATTCATTCCCTTTAAAAATTTACAAGTGTTGTTTCTGAATTAGTATCAGCTTTATATATTGTTTTTGTACTGGTGGTAGAAAGGTGAAAATTAAAGTTTGTATGTAATTTTTAATGCCAAAAGCTTTAAAAAAACCTTTAATTATGTATATGACTATGATTTACTTAATTTCAGATACCATCAGTCGCTCCACTAGAAGCGTTAAAGGCTCTTCCGCTAGTTGAACTATATCTTAAAGGGAACCCCCTTGTGAACAGGTTCAATGATATTGAAACCTACAAAAGGTAATAATGAAACGGTGCATTTTACAAGTAAAATTTCATTTTGCTTTGTGCGGGCTAGTGAGGACTGTGCTACAAAGCTCAAAAGTTAAGGTCAAACGAAGGTTAAAAATGTACTTTGTTCGATGCATTTTTGATTACTACCTGTTTAAAAAATTTGTTTGTCAAGAGGAGTTGGCGATGAACTTGGTTAAGTCTAAATATTACAATTTCACATAATTACTGTGCTGATAATTTTTTATGTTTATGTGATTAACCAATATACAGAAAATTATATGAAGTGTCATATAATTGAGTTAACGATAATTACTAAATTTTTTACATTTCTGTAGTTCTGTACTCCAAATACCAGCTGTGATCACTATAAGTCATAGATATTTTATAGAAAAGATCTTTCTGTCGATAACATTTTGTACAAACTAGTATTGTCGTTATATACACGGAATGCGCATTCTTTCAGCATTTTTGATAATGCTCAACATTTGTATGTGACTTAATACATTTGAGAATATCCGCTTCAGTGTGGTTTATGATACAATACTGGAGATATGGTTAAAGCATTATATGAATATGTTATCAATATAAATAATTATATGTACCGATATGTGGTATAGATGTGATATTTGAGTTAAACATGAGGAAAACAACTGTCCATCAACCTTACAAATGGGTATTAATTCCAAGAAAGTCTGTATTAATGCATGGTTATAATAATAACACTAAATTAAAATAAAATATGGTACAAGATACAAAACTGCTGTTGCAGCGTTTAGCCTCACCTCAAATTAAAAATGAGGTTACTTAAAAACTTTTACTTTATTTTATATTCCCCATATTTCCTTCTAAAGTCTTAATAATATTGTGCTGTCAAATGTTTCAATCATAAGAACTCTATTGTCTGTGTTTTAGTTTAAGAGATGGTAATATTTTAAGACACTTCTATACATTATGAAAGTATCGGGTGGTTTTAGAGTATACTCGTATTGGACTTGGAAAGTGCTTAAAACAATTGCTATCTCTTGACCATTGTACTAAATAATCATAACAACCTTAAATTTGAATGAGATTTGATTGAAGCAAATGTTAAATTTTTGCATAGTTAATTAAAAACATTGCTTCTCGAATGATGAACACTATTACACATAAATATATGAATCATTGAACTCGGCCAAGATTTCTATTTGGTTTCACAAAAATGTAAGAAAATTTCTTCAAAATACACAAACAGCTTTTTTATAAATTGATTTTTAATTTAGGCGTATTTTTGAAATTTTCATATGTTAAAAATCTATAGAAGTTTTGGTGGCAAGATTTTGTTCATCATTCCTTTACTATTAACATATCTTCGTTATGTGTTTATTTCTTGTTTCTGTTTCATTTTAAACATTGACATGCATTCTACGAAAATATGTTAATTTTGCAAAGTTGAATATTAACTTTGCATTAATTTTATCAATATTATATTTGTGAGAGTTTCAGAGGTAATTAGTATTGCCATGTTTATTATCTTCAGTGAGGTCCGGCGAAAGTTTCCGAAGCTGACGCGATTGGTAAGTTATAAAAAGTATCACCTTACTAACCTTAAGTACTTTTAACTAAAAACATTTTTATTTTTAAAGAAATGTTATTTCTGCCATATTTTATCACTCTAAAATAGGGCATACTGTAAAAAGTTCAATAGTTAAAAATATTATTATCTCATAGAATGTTAACCTGTTATGAACAAAATTATAGGACGGCGAAGATCTCCCACCGCCTATTGGTTTCGACATACCGGACGACATATCACTGCCACCAGCACAACAATCATTCCTCGTTGACCCCAACGGCCAAGAACTTATCAAAGAATTCCTAAAGCAATATTTTGCGATATATGATTCAGAATCGCGACAGCCATTACTCGATGCTTACCATGAATCGGCGACTTGTTCGCTGGCAGCCAATTACTTGAGCACGGACAATCGGACACCCAATTCAACTAATAAGTAAGTGACTAACATGGCTACATAAATTTGAGTATTTGTCCTATTGAACCATTTGCGACACTTACAATACGGCTACAAATCACTTTGATAACGTCATACTCAAAATCACATTTAACATAGCTATTCTGCCTACTGACAGGCTCAAAGGCTCTGGTGACCGGCTAATTTAGACTGGTTGAGGATCTTTGCATTAGCTCGGAGGACAACATTCTCCCTCTACCAATATTAATCTTATATAAATTGGCAATAAATACTTGTAATTTATTAAAAAAGTAAGAAAATAAAATCTGTGTTTGACAGAATCTTTAAATGTTAATTATTTCGTGTTTCATTATTGCGCCATGTTTAAACAGAGTATTATTTATTTAAAAAAAACGTGTATGTACTAATGTACACGCGTTAGAAGTTATACTTCTTTGGCGTAACAAGATAAAAATCTTTTTTTAATTTTTTTATCTTTCGCCTTATTCTACGTTTGTAGAAAAAACGACACTAACAATAGAAAAAATTTACCCTCATCATTTTTCCCTAACGCGCCAAAAGAAGTATAACTTCAATAAAGGTTTAAACTAAAGTACTGTTAACAGCAGAAAGAGGCGAAAGACTGCTGAGTTAAAAGTTCAGAGTGATTTAGTTATTAATAAGGGACATGAAATTTAACTTACCGTTATATATATTTTCTAGGCTCAACGCATACGTGGTGAACAGTCGTAATCTTATGAGAATAACAGACAGAGATTACAGACGAAGATATCTCAAAACAGGCAAATTGCAAGTCGTGTCACTGCTCTCCGAGTTACCAAAGACCACACATGATTTAATGGGCTTCGCTGTTGATTTAGTTATATTTAATGTGAGTAATTTGAGATTTATATTATACTGTAAAGGTGGGAGCTCGTACTTTATTGTTTCTCAGAATGCCAAATCATAAAATGACTGCTTCACGACTGATATGAGAGCGACCGCCGATGCGAAACCCGCTGTGTGAGTTCGAAAAGTGAGTTACAGAATCGCAGGGCTGTGTACTACATATTTACTTATAAAAAATATAAATATGTATCTCTAATCAATCTTTAGTCTCATCAGTCATTTGTTTTACTTACCACATTCAGATGACTGCAAAAAGTTTTACCACTTAAGTTCATTATAAACTGTGTGATATAGACCACAAGCCCATGAACAAAAAATACCTGTGAAATGACCCAACGTGAATTACGCTTAGAAGGCTGTTACTATATCTGAAAATAGCTCTGAGCACTATGCCGTCATTTCTGAGCGGTACATGTTAGTACGTGAGTGAATGGACTATCTCAGGTACAATTGGGGAATTTCGACTAATTATTAATGTACGGCTTTGTTATAAGTGTTAGATGATTTAAAATAAATGTCGAAAAACTTAGTGCCGTACTAAAGTGATGGTACCGGAAGTCGGTGCAAATTTTTAATTCGACGATAGTTGCAGGAGCAATATAGGTCATTTATTACTGTACGGCATTTGCGTAATTCCTTTTGGACACATATACAGATACTTTACCCGTGAACGCCGTACATATTTCCAGCGGAGCGGTCGAAAGCCAAGGGTCGCAACATATGTCTGATTAGCATATAGGTGATGATGATATAGAACAACATAAAATTAAATGATCTTGAGAGTTCTTCACAAATAGGTAACATTTTCCAGCATGCCGTACATTTTTTGTGGAACACATAGGTGTTGGGGTAAATTACTTCCCTCCGAAAAAGAGTCATTTTCCGGTGACTTTTATCTGTACGGCAATAACACAGGTTATTAATACTTTAGACAATCTTCAATAAAAGATAAATGCCGTACACTTTCGATAGTCCGCTAGTCTGTGAAATGGCAGATTATACCACCGCCTACCAATACAGGGCGTCCCAAAGTTATGGGATATGAAGGGGAAGTACCTTAAATATCGTAGATAGGGTATTTTACTAAAAGAAGACTTTATGTTATTTTTAAAAGTTAGTAATTCTGCATTCAAAGATTTTCTAAAAATTACTTGCCTCGTCTGGGAATCGAACCGACTTTGATGTAAAAAAAAACCCTACTTTTATGATGCCAATCGAAGAATGGCCAAAACTAATAACTCTTCTTAGGTAACATAGTATTTTTAAAAGAAAGGAACTGCGTGAATATATCTTTTTAATCAAATTAAAAACATTATCTATCGTATTCGGCCTAAAAAAATCCCCTACTAGTCTGTTACTTTAGAAAAGTTATTAGGTTTTGGCCATTCTTTCGATTGGTATCATAAAAGTAGGGGTGTTTTTTTTTACATTTAAGCCGGTTCGATTTCCAGACGAGGCTAGTAATTTTTTCAAAATCTTTTAATGCAGAATTACTAACTTTTAAAAATAACGTTAAGTCTTCTTTCAGTAAAATACCCTATCTACGATATTAAAGGTACTTTCCCTTCATGTCCCATAACTTTGGGACGCCCTGTATTATATTTTTATTTTTGTTAAAAATACTTTTCCTTTACCTCTCTCTGCTCGTACGATAAGGCTGTAAATATACTTTACAGCCTTATGGTAGTATACTCAGATACGTACAGTTATTAATGACCTTAAGGGACACCTCAAACGTCGTCGAAGTTTTTATCAGCTGTAAAGAATAATCTGGAGCAAAATGTACGGCATCTGGTTTTTTTTGTTTATTTATATTTGTTACATATAAAATAACAATAATCTTTGAAAATATTACTCCTCATATTACTTTAGGAATATTTGAAAAATCATCTAAATTTCGGAAATTTCATATATTTTTTATCATAATATTTTTATTTGTTACCATTTATAATGAACGGCTATAAGGTACAACGGTAACATTTAGTAACATTATGTAAAAAAACAAGTTGCCGTACATTATTCTCTGATCTTACAGCAGTAATAACTCGGTAAATCCTGAAATTTCGATAAATATTTATTTACACAAATATTAACTATAATTTTTGGACGGCATAATTATAAAACATTATTGTCCGTGTTAAATAATATTTTGAACATGTTGCCGTACATTTTACAATGACCTTAGGGTATATGGGTGTAGGGTAGGGTTCCGACCCTTGGCTTTGACCGCTCCGCTGGAAATATGTACGGCTTTACGGGTAAAGTATCTGATATGTGTCCAAAAGGAATCACACAAACCGTACAGTAATAAATGACCTATATTGCTTCTGCAACTATCGTTGAATTAAAAATTTGCACCGACTTCCGGCACCATCACTTTAGTACGGCACTAGGTTTTTCGACATTTATTTTTAATCATCTATACACTTATAACAAAGCCGTACATTAATAATTAGTCGAAATTCCCCAATTGTACCTGAGAAAGTCCATTCACTCACGTACTCACATGTACCGCTCAGAAATGACGGCATAGTGCTCAGAGCTATTTTCAGATATAGTAACAGCCTTCTAAGCGTAATTCACGTTGGGTCATTTCACAGGTATTTTTTGTTCATGGGCTTGTGGTCTAATATAATAGCATTTTAATCCAATAATTTTTATTTTTCCAGCCAAACATGGTAGTACTAACAATGAATGGAGTATTCAGAGAAATAATGACTACGGGGACACCTCTCCGATCCTTCCATCGGACATTTGTGATAGTTCCAAATAATTCTGGTGGATTCAGCATACTTAATGATATGTATTTCATAACAAATGCAACTAAACAGCAGGTTCGTAGATTTTTCTTGTATTTAAAAAATCACACAGAATTGTAATGTTTCTTATTGAAATTGTATTAGAAATTTTATCTATAATATTCGGGAAATATAAATTAGTATATTAATACAACTTAAAAAATCATAGGTTAAATCAAGTTTATTAAATAGAGTTGATGTATAAACAATGTTTCTATAATATTTTTTTTGTTTATTACAGGAAGACAAAGCGTTTTCAACATCAACACCAGCTTCAGTCCCCGCTCCAACTCCAACGCCCGCTGCTCCCGCAATTCCCGTTGTGACGCCAGCAGCGCAACCCGTTGCCGGTACTTCGCAAGAAGACACGCAGAAGATGATGCTAAACATGCTTAGCCAACAGACTGGCATGAACGAACATTGGAGTATAAAGTAAGTAATATTTTATTTTTTGATGAAACTCATCAAAATAATATAAACTAATATTTAGGTCTGGGTTCTATATTTGAAATACCTTTCGTAACAGCAGCTAACCGTAGATCCAAATAAAAATTGGTCCAAATTGTCTTTTCTAAAAATTCTCGTACCCATCATATGTTTATTTCAAAGTCATAAGTTTTTTACGCTTAGATCAGAACTCCTTAGATACTGAGTAAGGGAACGTTCAAGTATTACGTAACGAATTTTGGGGGGTAGGGTGTCCTTTTGTAAAAGGTTACGATACGGGACGGGGATTGAATTACGCGTTATTGTTAGTATTATTTTTGACTTTCCAGTTCTTTACACAACATAATGGTAACTTTTTGGTATAAAGAGTCACTAGGTGGTCGCGAAACGTTTTACTATTGGATACAGAAAAACTTTACGGCGCGTTACAGGGGGGGAGGGTCAATAATCTCCAAAAATTGCGTGACGTAATACTTGAACGCTCTCTAATGTGAAACTTCTTGAAACAATAATGAACAGCCTGGCAAACACAATTTTTTTTAAACTTTTTCTTAAGGCTATGAAACAACTAATTACAAAAACTATTAGCGCTCTGTATAGTTTTTATAATTTCTTAAATATTGATAACACCTTAGTGACCAATTTGAAAAAATATTAAGAGCCTGTTTGTTTAATACTACTTATAAATCTGCAAAACAAATATTGTTTCAAATGTTTTCCCACACCGTACAAGAGAGTGTTCAAGTATTACGTCACGCAATTTTTGGAGATTGTTGTCCCCCCCACCTCATAAAACGCGCCGTAACGTTTTTCTATACCCGAGTACAGTACGATACCCAAGTATACGTAGTATAACGTTACGTAGTAGTAGTAAAACGTTTCGTGACCACCGTTCGTTCAGTGACTCTTTATACCTAAAAGTTACCATTATGTGGTGCAAAGTACTGGAAAGTCGAAAATAGTATTAACAATAACGCGTAATTCAATCCCCACCCCGTATCGTAACGTTTTACAAAAGGAACCCCCCAAAACTCGTTACGTAATACTTGAACGCTCCCCAAGCAAGTTATCTTTTACTAATTTAAGATTATTTTTGACAGCTGTCTTCAAGAAACGGGTTGGGATTATCAGCGGGCATTATTTATTTTCAACCAACTGCAATCAGAAGGAAAAATACCACAAGAAGCCTTTGTGAAGTGATTTATAGACTCTATTTTAGATATAATGTTTTCGCATGTAAGCTAATTGCATGCAAGAGATTTGTGTTAAGCATAATCTAGTTAACTGCAAACCAATGGAATATGGCGATATTCCCTTTGTTTTCAGTTACATGTTGTATTAATCTTAATTGTTTAGAGTACAGACCCAAACGCTTTAAAAAATATTGTTCTCTTTGTTTTGGTTTAATATGTATAGATTATATATGATATTGTATTTCAAAATTGTAAAATGTCTAATTTAGTTGAACGAATATTGCAACGTCCAAATCTTCCAATTGACTGGAAATCTGTTTCGTCAAAATTGGGACGTTTCAGTACTTGTCTATTGTAATTTTTTTAACAATTGTTAATTATCACTACATTTACTGTTTCTTGTACTTTCATTGTGTACTTTATCTGAAATTTCGTATTTCGAAATCCAATTCTTTTTAATCAAATTTAATTTAAAGTGTTAATTCAGTCCCTACAAAAATAAAAAAATTGAAAGAGAATGTCAAAAGTGGATTTGGGAAAATAACAGCACATTGGGCTTTGGCGACCTCTATCGGCCAGTTTTATGTTGCCTTTTGTACCCCGGAGTGGGTTTTATGGTTAGGGGTTTGATACCCTGTGGAATGTGGCGGAACCCCTTAGATGATCTATGTGGGCTAGCTGCATAATTGTTAACCAAATTTGGCGATCGTTTTACTCGGCTGTGTGTTTGGAAGCCTGCCTAAGTGCGGTTTATTGGGGATGCATAGAAACTAGATATATGAATAAATTTTTTTCTTACAAATCCAGTGTTTTATTGTAGACATAAATTTATTATAAACGTTTATTGATTTCTCCCATTTTTATAAATTATCAGAAAGCGTAATTAGTAGTATAAGCCTTAATTGGAAGATAGAAGACCCGCCTCTTTTTAACGTGGGGAAATGCCGTTACGAATAGCTAAATTGCGCCTACATCATACCCGTGGAGCCAGGGTTATGACATTCTGCAAAAAAAAATAGATTTTTACTTAAAAAAAAATTAACTTATTAATAATCGATTATTTCACTTATTATTTTTTCACATCCCTACGTGGAGGGCTATATGTGACTCGGTCACTGTCACTGTCACAATACCCTACTAGGGATGTGACGTTCTGCATAAAAAATCGATTTTTTATTAATCGATTTTTCTTAAAAAAAATATTCGATTTTTTTATTAATCGATTTCTTCCTAATTTCTGAATTCATTTCAAACTAAACACCCTAAATATTTTATTTTTCTTGGTTTTATTAACTAAAAATAAACAATAGAAATTATAAACATGAATTAACGTTTAAGAATAATCAAAAACCTAAATTACAGCACATTGCAGTATTTTGTTGTCTTTTTTATTTTATGTTATCTTGTGCTGCTGGTTTTATCATCCTTTCGATGTTTTACAAAGAAACATCAATGCATCGAGTATATCAATACATCTTCAAAGCATCGGATCCAAAAAAATATAAACGATTTTAAAACAAATGGTGACTTTCACCAGTATAATACGCGAAATAGAACTAATTTGAGTGTACGACCAACCAGGCTCCAAAAGATAAACCACTCCTTATATGGAAATTGTATTCGTTTTTACAACAAGCTCCCAAGCGAAATTAGAGAATATCACTAAATAAATTCAAAGCCCTCGTTAAACGAAAATTAATCAACAAAGCTTTTTAAAATTTGAGGACTACTTAAATGATCCTAATCCTTGGGATTGAATTGCTCCAGTTCAAACAATTTGTATGACAATACTTGGCGATTAAAAAGAGTGGCGGAAAGTTTCTTGCCAGTTCTTCTTACCCGCTCTACGCCCTTGACTTGCGAACTGGTAGTAAATGTAAATTTACGATTAATTTAACTTGACGATTCAAAAGTGTACTTGGTTACCTACTTGAATAAAGATATTTTGAGTTTGAGTTTGAGTTTGATGTATCGCATTGTAAACATCGATGTATATCGAATATCCCTAATAGTTCGAGATCCGGGATATAAAAGACCAGACATATGAGAGACATGTCGGGAGGTGGCAGATGAAAAATCGACTATGATTGATTTTAAATTATAAAAATAATCGATTATTTTAAATATAAAAATCACGGGCAAAAATAGATTTTTTTAATAATTGATTATTTTTTCACATCCCTATACCCTACCCACTAAAACCCCACGGAGACAGATTACTTAGTCCTTAACTCCCCGCCCCGTCCAGTGAAAACCAAAAACACCTTTAGAAGATACTTATGAATAAAAAGATTTTCTTTTCTTGAAACCAATATTAATGAGCACTTTCAGTAAATTGTTGTCAAGTTGATATTCAAATAATGCTGTGATGATTATGCTACTTCCAGATAGCTGCAGCTGCATCTGGACACAATGTAAAATCTATAATAATAGTTATTAATTAAATATTTGCGAAGATTTGTTGAATGTAAAATATACAGTACTAACTAAATATTCTGTACAAATTGAAATCAATTTTTCTATTCTAACATAGATGGCGCTGAATTAAAATAAACGTATTTTTATAGAAAGCTTATGAGGCGTTTGATAATCGTGCCTAATGCTTTTAATGTGTCCAAATTCTTTTAAGATTTTTTGCAAAACAAAAAGATCAACAAGGTTTTCTTAATATGTTTTCAGTGTATGTAAAAGCCTTCTATAAACACTATGATTGTTGACACACCTCTGCCTTATCTTGTATAAACTAGGTCATGTCTTAATATTTTATATTAAAAATTAATATAGTAATTCAATACTTCTACTTACCTTTCTGAACTTATTTAACTGCCCTATATATATTCCAATAATTAACCTGCATGGGTCCTATCTCATTCATTGTCTGTTGAATTTACAAAAATTAACAGATTTCCCTATTCATAAGTTAGAACAAAACTTAATAAAGGGAAGAACCCTTTTAACTAATATTTATTCCATAAGCCAATTGTTAGAAATATGTATATAATACTTTAAATAAATATTGTTTAAGCTGATGAACGTTCTCTAATATCTTCTTGCAGTGACATTGGCGATAGGTATGTATACATTCTCCGCTTGATACTTTCAACATCTTATATTTTTTACTTCTTATACAGTAAGTACTTTGCTATGTGACATGAAGTAGCAATATAATTTTATTATTTTATACAAGGAATCTTCCGAGCGCAATCTGGTACGTAGATACTGTTGACTGAAGATAAGTATAAAATGCTTACGTATAATGAGCTTATAGCAAATAATGGAATTTTACATACTCGTGATTGTGCTTTCATTCCAATATATTTGTTTATAATAGGTAATATGAAAATTATTACCCAGGTGGTGACTGCATCTCATCATCATACTGAACTACACGCGAATACGTTAAAAATTAAATCTCCAAAATTAGGTACATTTTTTTAAGAAATATTAAATAACATTTTTTCAATTGATTTGTATTGTATCACCATATTAATAAACTATTTACATACGAGATTTAAAGATTATATTAAACTATTTCTGTTAAGTAGCAACTAAGCGCCAAATACGATGCCTGTTTATAAAAGTCATTAGGAAGTTGCCAGTCTGAACCTGGTGGTTAAATGCTAACGCTAAGTTTTTGTTCAAAAGTATATTTATTAATATATTTTCTTTTCTCACTCTTCAGAAATCCGTTAACGGAGCAGACAAAGTTACACCTCCATTTTTTGTTTTTTGTTTTATATATTGTCCCAAAAATTATACAAAATAATTCCGTTTCGCTCCAATATATAAAATATGATAAAATATTGTTAATAAAGGTACTTACATATTACATAGTTTAATTAAGGATATAGAACGGTTAATTCCAAATGTTAACAGTTAATTTAACTTCCATTTGTATCCAATAAATACCTACTACAAGTCAGTTTTGGTAGTAAGAAATAATCTTTTGAATTTTTCCTATATAATAATTAACGTAACATTCCTGTTCTCAGAAAATTAATGATGTCAACATCGGTTATATTACGTATGTGTGACTTAGCTAAGATAAATAGTTCCTATCAGATTTTGTTAGTTCATCCTCATAAACTCACAACCCCTAATTTTATCTTATAAGCTGTTGTTTTGTACCATTAAAGACAGATGACACTTAGAAAAAAATAGCTTCGAACAATGTAGCCGCCACCGAACTAACTCGTGAAATTAATAATCATTAATATTAATAACTAATTTCTCATGTTTTAAACTAAAAGTATTTCTTATTCACGTATGACTGATCCTATTACGCACGAAGATGTTAAATATTCTTATGATGCATGTTTATGTTCCTCGGATTTTCGGAATTGGCATTTGAAGTATTTTCCTGTAAATGTGACTCCAGGGAATCCCACTTTACGTTACCTAAAGCCACACATTACACAAACCCACACAACCACCCATAGTTATCTTATTTTATTATTTTTCAATAATTATATGTAGTTTACTAAATAAATAATACACTTTAAAATATAATTTTTGAACGATTGTTGTCATTAAATTTAAACCTCGTCGCTCAAACATCTAAATCACTATAAGAACGAATATAATGACGGAAAATAATAACAATTCACCGATTTATAGCATCTAGCTGCGGTCTACATTGACTTGGGCTAAACAATTAATTTTAACGCATCAAAATGAATCGAAATCAGTTTAGCATTTGAATTCTCCATTGAATTTTTTATTTACTGCGTTTCTGCGTTTGCCTCGAACTCAAACTCGGATTACAGTGTTTCATCGTAGATTGTAAATAATAGAATCGTCTAGCTACTAAACAATTTATAGTTAGTTTTTAGAAATGTGAAATTTGTTATCCACGTTTTGCACTAGATTACCTGAAAATCAGGTAGGTGTAAACAATATTTTATGGTCATAGATAAGAGATATCACGGCTTAGTGTCACTGACGTCAAGCTCTGTTGACACATGTCAAGAACCTTAGGTAAGTCACGCTAGCCTGCCTTCTCCATGA